TGTCGAATACATGTATCACAGACTACCCTGTATTTTGTCTGATACACGTATCAGAGTCTATCTTAATAGGGTTGCATTTTGTAGGATACACGTATCACAGATTACCCTGTATTTTGTCGAATACATGTATCAGAGACTATCCTGTATTTTGTCGAATACATGTATCACAGTCTACCCTGTATTTTGTCTGATACACGAATCAGAGTCTATATAAATAGGGTTGTATTTTGTCGAATACATGTATCAGAGACTACCCTGTATTTTGTCGGATACATGTATCAGAGACTACCCCAATATGGTGGTATTTTGTGGGATACATGTATTCCTATATGTTGTATTGTATTAGACTAACCTGGGTTGCAACACAGCTTGATAAACTCAACTGGGATGTATTTAGAAAAAAAGGATTGGAGCTGTGAAAAGGTGTTGTGTTTTCTTAAACTATGGTTTAGAAATCCTTTGGATGCGATAATTTACTTGTACAAGGTTGTCACAACTCTATTGTAAAGATTGAAAGAGATACTGAAATGCCCGAATAAAAAGATTAAAATTTTGTGAGTATGAAACTCCCCCATACAACTCACGGTTTTTTAGTAAGGTGTGTCGAGTACGACTGTACCGTGGTAGTCGGGGAAATGTTAGTTTTGTCCCCGCGTGTTTCTGCCGGTAATACACATCACTTTGAGTATGTATATTACACACAAACACACACACCGCGACCTATATCTTCTACTTTACGGCCTGTCCATCGATAACCAGACGGCTAGGTTTAAAGAACGAACTAGACTGCAAGTCAGATGGGATGTACAAACCTTCTTCTCAGGAATAAATTAACTGGCAATCGATTTAGATAAAACCCGGGTAATGTGAAACCATATACGCATAGTAAACATTTACATGTCTACACGTAGAAGTGGATTTCTCACCACCTTTTGTATCATGCCGCTTTGTGCTGACATAGGTTGGTGTAACGTGTAGACTGTATTTCACACGTGGAGTTATAACTCAGACAATTATCCTGTACTACGTGTGACTCATAGAAAGTGATCCTCACAGCCCCTATATATACCATGTTTTACAGAACGCCGTACTAAACCCGCTGTATGGGCTCGTACTAGAACGCTTGGTTTCAATTGTACATTGCTTAGTAAATCTATCAATGCTTCCTTGTTCAGAGAGCTGACCACAGATAATCTCAACACTGGACAGGACACCGCGACCTCTAGCAATCTATTGTATGCATGTGTATTCGTCAACTTGATAAATTCTTGTTGAAAATGATCCAGTGCTGTTACTACACATAAGCACTCGTGCGTATGAAGCTATAAATCGATTCTTTCGTAAGATAGAGAAGTAAATGGTCGTGTATTCTATATACCAGGAACAACAGATAAATATGACAACTCTAAAGTAAAATGGCATCACTCCTATGACGGGAGTTAATCACTGACATGTGTGCGATCTAGAAGTGTATTTATAGACACTAGTAATGATGTCTTGCTATAAACAACACTGTCGGGTTCATGGTACGGATGTGACATTTCAATATATTGTCGTATAAACAGCCAGTCCACTAAGCACTGGAATTACTATGCAGATCTTATGTGACAATGTTTACGCAAAATTTAAGTTTGTATCGACATCAGCACGTTTATATGGGCATTCAAATAAAAAAAATTGAAAACGAACAGATGTATAAAGAAATTTACGTACTTCATTTTCTGCACGTGGAATACTGCAGATTCATTTAAATTACTGTTGCTTTATTCCAATATTCATGAGGTTATCAAACTATGTAAATATCAGGAGTCATGCTTCAACAGAAACGGCTCACCCATATTTTTTCAAAAGAGAGGAAACAATGCCGGTTTACAATGGACACATTACAGTACTTATATTGAATAGTGATATTTGTTGAACACAATACAGTACTGATGTTAAATAGTGAGATTTGTTGAACACAATACAGCACTGATGTTAAATAGTGATATTTGTTGAACACAATACAGTACTGATGTTAAATAGTGATATTTATTGAACACATTACGGTACTGATGTTAAATAGTGATATTTGTTGGACACATTACGGTACTGATGTTAAATAGTGATATTTGTTGGACACAATACAGTACTGATATTAAATAGTGATATTTGTTGGACACATTACGGTACTGATGTTAAATAGTGATATTTGTTGGACACAATACAGTACTGATGTTAAATAGTGATATTTGTTGGACACATTACGGTACTGATATTAAATAGTGATATTTGTTGAACACTACGATACTGATGTTAGATAGTGACATTTGTTGAACACATTACAGTAATGATGTTAAATAGTGATATATGTTGAACACAATACAGTACTGATATTAAAAAGTGATATTTGTTGGACACATTACGGTACTGATGTTAAATAGTGATATTTGTTGGACACAATACAGTACTGATGTTAAATAGTGATGTTTGTTGGACACATTACGGTACTGATATTAAATAGTGATATTTGTTGAACATAATACAGTACTGATGTTAAATAGTGATATTTGTTGGACACATTACGGTACTGATATTAAATAGTGATACTTATTGGACACGTTATGGTACTGATATTAAATAGTGATATTTGTTGGACACAATACGGTACTGATATTAAATAGTGATATTTGTTGGACACAATACGGTACTGATATCAAATAGTGATATTTGTTGGACACATTACGGTACTGATATTAAACAGTGATATTTGTTGGACACAATACGGTACTGATATTGAATAGTGATATTTGTTGGACATATTACGGTACTGATATCAAATAGTGATATTTGTTGAACACTACGATACTGATGTTAAATAGTGATGTTTGTTGAACACAATACAGTACTGATGTTAAATAGTGATATTTTTTGGACACATTACGGTACTGATATTAAATAGTGATATTTGTTGGACACAATACAGTACTGATGTTAAATAGTGATGTTTGTTGGACATATTACGGTACTGATGTTAAATAGTGATATTTGTTGAACACATTACGGTACTGATATTAAATAGTGATATTTATTGGACACGTTATGGTACTGATATTAAATAGTGATATTTGTTGGACACATTACGGTACTGATGTTAAATAGTGATATTTTTTGGACACATTACGGTACTGATATTAAATAGTGATATTTGTTGGACACATTACGGTACTGATATTAAATAGTGATATTTGTTGGACACAATACGGTACTGATATTGAATAGTGATATTTTTTGGACACATTACGGTACTGATATTAAATAGTGATATTTGTTGAACACTACGATACTGATGTTAAATAGTGATGTTTGTTGAACACAATACAGTACTGATGTTAAATAGTGATATTTTTTGGACACATTACGGTACTGATATTAAATAGTGATATTTGTTGGACACAATACAGTACTGATGTTAAATAGTGATGTTTGTTGGACATATTACGGTACTGATGTTAAATAGTGATATTTGTTGAACACATTACGGTACTGATATTAAATAGTGATATTTGTTGAACACATTACGGTACTGATATTAGATAGTGATATTTGTTGGACACAATACGGTACTGATATTAGATAGTGATATTTGTTGGACACATTACGGTACTGATATTAGATAGTGATATTTGTTGGACACATTACGGTACTGATGTTAAATAGTGATATTTGTTGGACACATTACGGTACTGATATTAAATAGTGATATTTGTTGGACACATTACGGTACTGATGTTAAATAGTGATATTTGTTGGACACATTACGGTACTGATATTAAATAGTGATATTTGTTGGACACAATACGGTACTGATGTTAAATAGTGATATTTGTTGGACACATTACGGTACTGATATTAAATAGTGATATTTGTTGGACACATTACGGTACTGATGTTAAATAGTGATATTTGTTGGACACATTACGGTACTGATATTAAATAGTGATATTTGTTGGACACATTACGGTACTGATGTTAAATAGTGATATTTGTTGGACACAATACAGTACTGATGTTAAATAGTGATATTTGTTGGACACATTACGGTACTGATGTTAAATAGTGATATTTGTTGGACACATTACGGTACTGATATTAAATAGTGATATTTGTTGGACACATTACGGTACTGATGTTAAATAGTGATATTTGTTGGACACATTACGGTACTGATATTAAATAGTGATATTTGTTGAACACAGATGTTGTTATTTGAAGGCATGAATATCTTTTCCAGAAGTTTTTTTTGTAACAACGCTTACTTTTTGGCGATTTCTCTCGAATGCGGACAATTTTTTAACATTTGAATGTCTGAAGTGGGCTTCTATAGAGGGAGTATCGCATATAACATTGTACTCTAGTTCACTTGACAAACGCTTTACCGAAAGATCTAAAGAGAAATTTCTTCAGTCGAGACGGTACAGAGAAGGAATTAATTTTGGGAGTTTTTATATTGATATGATTATGTTGCTCATAAATGAGACATTTGTGTGAGGTCGTAATTCTCCACAATAACAGTCCATTCCATGCCCATATGTATCCCTATCAAATATTGTGATCTCTCTATCATAACAGTGGATTTCTCTACATTGAAAATACACCATCTCCCATCCGCATCCTCGATATTCCATGGGTTAACCATCATTTTCGCTCTCTGCAACCCTGCAATATATCATTGCAAAAGTGAAGGTTCCTTGAGCGCCACCTTGTGGACAAGACGAAAAGACTAGTTTGATCTTCTGATGTATATCACACGAATCTCGAGGTCGCATAACATTGTGTTGTAATGGGTTTGAAGTTGGGTGTAGATCCTATGTAAACTTCAAAAGGAGCGATTTTGCCAGAACACATTCCAGGGGTGCAGAGAGTGAACGTGGTCGTAACCCCTGGAGTATCGAGGATGATTCCAGGGGTGCAGAGAGTGAAAGTGATCGTAACCCCTGGGGTATCGAGGTTGGTTCCAGCGGTGCAGAGAGTGAAAGTGATCGTAACCCCTGGGGTATCGAGGTTGGTTCCAACGGTGCAGAGAATGAAAGTGATCGTAACCCCTGGGGTATCGAGGTTGGTTCCAACGGTGCAGAGAGTGAAAGTGATCGTAACCCCTGGGGTATCGAGGTTGGTTCCAGCGGTGCAGAGAGTGAAAGTGATCGTAACCCCTGGGGTATGGAGGATGGTTCCAACGGTGCAGAGAGTGAAAGTGATCGTAACCCCTGGGGTATCGAGGTTGGTTCCAGCGGTGCAGAGAGTGAAAGTGATCGTAACCCCTGGGGTATGGAGGATGGTTCCAACGGTGCAGAGAGTGAAAGTGATCGTAACCCCTGGGGTATCGAGGATGGTTCCAGGGGTGCATAGAGTAAAAGTGATCGTAACCCCTGGGGTATTGAGAAGGGTTCAAGGGGTGCAGAAAGCGAAGGCGGTCGTTACCCATGGAGTATCGAGGATGTTCCCATCCGTTGAAAAGCTTTTTCAGTTTCAAACCAATATTCCGTCATGATTTAACTTGTTAATGTACAGTTGTCAACGTTCTATTTATGACATAGGAACAAGAAAAGCCAGCAGAAGAATGGCAGTTCCTTGCATCTTGTCTGCTTCTGTTTCTTTGTTACGATAAAAATCATTTGCGAACTAATATTACACACATTTCGAATGTCGGTTGTACCTTTTGCATAAATAATAGTGTCCATGATGAGACCTCTGCTGTTGATGTCAAGACTGAAGTCAGAATGTCCTTGTGAAGTTTGCATTGTCGCCGCCATCTTGAAACGAACCCTTCGGATCATATACACGATGGGTAACAAACAAGGTCCTTAAATTTCTAACAAAAAATAACAAAGTAAATACATTTGAAAAGCTAGTTTATCAATCGCCCGCTGTCCACATAGTTCTAAAAAAAATACAGAACACATGGTGCCTTACACGAATTATTACATGAAAAACAAACCAAAACATCATATTTGGTCGATGAACGAACCAGGAAGATACGCGCGTCCAGACCAATAGAAAAATCGTTTAAATGTCACGTCAATATTATTGTAATGTGTCAGACTGGCCCACTTTGTTACGCTGACCACTCACGACATGTCACATACATTCGTGTATTTACATCAGCAATACTGACTTGATTGGTCTGACTCGCGTGCAGCTAATAATATTCGTTATATGTTTGAGGTGAAACGTTTATGACAATTAGCAGTCATGGGGATATGGCCAGATAACGAACATTTCGGGAAAAAAGGAACTGGACCCAGTTTACAGCTTTTAAAGTCTTCGATAGGAAATTAAAGTAAATAAATAAATGTTATTCCCCGTAATCAATACGTAACATGTTCTTTTATCGATGACGCCCAAAATTAAACCGTTACCATGACAATCATACCAGTCATCATAATATGTTTTATTAGATATTTTCTCCGAGGTGGGGTAGTCTAAGAAATGGGGGGTATTATATATATTGAAGATATTATATCACGTGTAAATAAGACACAAGAGCATGCGGGTACTGAAAATATCATAGTAAGTGTGTATTTAGAAAATGATAAAATTGTGTACTGCGGATATAATTGCACATGTGTACTAAGGATATGGTTACACATGTGTTGAGGATATGGTTACACATGTGTACTAAGGATATGGTTACACATGTGTTGAGGATATGGTTACACATGTGTACTGAGGATATTATTACACATGTGTTGGGGATATGATTACATATGTGTACTGAGGATATGGTTACACATGTGTACTGATGATATTATTACACATGTGTTGGGGATATGATTACACGTGTGTACTGATGATATTATTACACATGTACTGAGGATGTGATTACACATGTGTTCTGAGAATATAATTACACATGTGTACTGAGGATATGATTACACATGTGAACTGGGGACATGTTTACACATATGTACTGAGGATATGATTACACATGTGTACTGGGGACATAGTTACACATATGTACTGAGGATATGATTACACATATGTACTGGGGATATGGTTACACATATGTACTGTTGATATGATTACACATGTGTACTGAGGATATGATTACCCTTGTGTACTGTTGATATGATTACACATGTGTACTGGGGATATTGTTACACATGTGTTCTGAGGATATGATTAAACATTTGCACTGAGACTGTGATAAAACCTCTGTATTGATTTAGTAAATAATACGTTTCTACGGGAGTATTACTGATCTTGGGTAATAAAGATGTTATGACACGTGTAATAGTGTAATCAGGATATGACAAGATCTGTTTATTAAGGATATGATATAACATGTATGTTGATGACACAACTGTTGCGTACATTTTGACTTATAACATGGACAGCAGTCATCGTCTTCACGTCCTCTTTACTTACACAAAGTCACGTTCTGCAGCATGCTTATCATTCATATATATACGAGAAGACGATTGTATGTTTTCTTTAAATAATGATCAGACTAGAAATAGATGAGGAATGCTGGTTCAGACACATAAACCGGTATACACCGAATCCCTTCGGATCAATAATGAATGCATTTTGCATGATTTCGTGTGAAAGACATGCACACATTGAATCGGTCCAGACGATTGCCTAGTTTTCGGTAACAGCGGAAATTACTGTGCGATTCTGGTAAAGACAACGGACACGGTTCCGGATTGACGTTGTTTAACGACGTAAGCAATTTTCTATTCATTACAAAATTAGTAGTTTTTCTGTCATCCCTGAAATATTTATCATATATGGAGCGATACGCACTGTCGTCTGTTCGAAAGGACTGTAAGGTGCTCCATACAGATCATATAAAATTGTTTAAGATGCAAACGTTTTGAAGACTCACCTCTAGGTTAAATAAATGTAAGTCAAAAATGTCCTACGCCAAACAGGAATTACTGCAGTTATCTGTCTTGAACATCGGAATACCGTAAATGAGGAATTTTCAATACCTGTGTTATAGAGGTTTTATAATGTATATATAAGTTCATATGGCATTTATTTCCCTTTAATTCACGGTCGAGGATGTGACGTATCATTTCCCTTTAATTCACGGTCGAGGATGTGACGTAGAAGAATTATTACCTAAGATACACGACAAGGTATTCTTGTCCACATACAGACCGTCTTATTGATTCTCAGTTGTCTTCATTTTACATTTCCTGCAGAGAAAACTTGTTTTTCTTGAAGACAAGAAGGACGTTCGTGAATCAGGAGCATGCGAGGAATAGTCCCAATTATAGATGGACCGTGAAACAATACGCAAATACCCACGTCGGATAGTGTTCATCGGGAAAATGGGAACATAAAACGTATTCTATGTAAAGAAGCATTTGCCAGTAAATTGGTAGAAATCTGAAATTGTCACCTAATGATGTACACCCTGTATCTGATTTGAACGTCCCCGAGTTGGACGGTTTTCCACAGACTGTAGAAACGGACACCTTTTAACACAACCTTGACACATGTTTGGGAACAGTACGACAAACATTATTCCGTAACAATACACGACTGTGTATCTCATCTGCAGCAATAAAAACATTGACCGCGAAGTGACGCAGTATAAGTTTCATCTGTTACAAATGTACAGCTTGTTGGGATTAAAAATAAGTGTTGTGGAAAGTTTAGAAGAATGCGTTAAATCTGCACCTTCTTGTATTTCATTACCAAAATATCGCCAGAGTCGTTGTTTTTCTGTTTTAGGCACTTGTTCAAACGTTGTACCCGGGGATCTTTAGTGATTTCTGGTGGAGTGCTTTTGTTTGTAAACGTGCGCGTGATATGAAGTGCGAAGAGAAGAAGAACTTAAATTGCTAATGGATACACTAACATTTTAACAAGATACTTTATATAATTTCGACATCAATTTCGCCCATAAAAACAACATTTTATATGTTGTACTTTATTCCACTTAACTCGATTTCATGAACAACATGTTTCGGCTATCTATGGGAATGTCTTACACATTCTTTTCTCAAGGTGTATCATCAGATCGGCGTTACAAAGACGGCTAGTAGTGCATGACGTCTGAAAGAGGTGCCTGCCAAAATAGAGACGTTGGAACTGGAATTACAATTCATTAGATATTCAAGGGCCTATTCCCATTATCACGATTTTCGTGCAAGAAGTCGTCAAACTCACAACAACGATTTTCAAAAGACGTAGATTCATGAAAATTATGGGAATGTTTTACGGCGAGATGAAACTGGACGTGTTTGATGTTCCTTAGTCCTATTGGTTTCGTTGTTGTATATCGTGTTTTCATTTGAGAACGTGACATTACTTACTTGAATTGACCAAAATATACATATCGGGTGTCGTCGATGAAGCAGAAGACGTTTACTCTTCCGGAACACCTAATCTTATTCTCCTTTTTTAAGACTCTCCATGTAAATATTTATATTTTGTTCCAGTATTATTGGACTTGAATTTGGATTATGATTATATTAACATGTTGGTATTTTCTTGATTTCTTTTACTTCTAGTCATAAGTTTTGCAAATGACCCTACTATACATATAAAACAACTTCAGCTGATTTGTGTGGTTTGAAAGGTATGTCTTTAGCTTTCACTTATTTACACAGGTCATCATCCTTTCTGCTATAAAATTATATAGATACATTAATTTGAACTTTTTACAAAAACTTTACAGAAAAGTGTTGATGGACTTTGACCTTTGACCAGGTGACCCTACAACCAAGAACAGAATCTCTGCAACATTTCCTTAAACTTTCAAATGTATATACAAAAAGTTGAAGTTTTTAAAATTTTTATTGTTATTTTAATAATATGGCTCCGTCCAGATATCCCTGTATACCTGAAGACTAAGTGGTACATACTGAAATGATACGTATTTCACTATTTTTGCCCCACGCCATGAAGGCAGAGGATTGAGAACACAAGTTTTGCCTCATCATCTTTTGATGCTGATGACCACGTTAGGTTTGAATCGGCTCAGCGGTTCTTAAGAAGATGCTCAAAATCTGAAAAATCAATGGCCGCTGGACTATGCTCGAAGGACAAAAGGCTCACTTATCCTCAAAAGTCGCTATGTAAAGCAGTCTGGTGTTGTATCCACACTATGATCAAGTAATATGATTTCGAAAATAGACCCATTGCATTATCTCCATGTTATAGGAAAACTTGATACAAAACATATTTCCCAACGTTGTCATTCATATACCATATTTCAGGAAAAAATCCGCTTAGTGTACTGGGATTAAAATAACTGGTTCCTTTTTTCATCGTCAACATCACCACATCGCAATGATCTAAGCAAGCGTCAATGGATGAACAATTATTGTAATATAATGAATAGTTTATGCCTATTCCGAATATCAAGCCACACAATTTTAAGTGATGCAATTTCATCCTTGTAACCCTTCTTTTTTCTGTTGAAGCTAATATTTTAACTTGTGAAATATTTACATCATATCGAGCATTTACACCAATCACAATTAAAATCGCCTGTGTAGTTTGTGTCCTCAACGTTTTCAGTACTTAGGTTTATAGTTATCCGCTCAACTTTCTATTTCACATGCAGAATAAAGCAACATAGACTATATCTGATAATGGGAGTTCCTTTATTTGGTTGTTAAAGACGACATACAGAAAAATAACGAAATACCTTACATTTTCAACTTTCATCGCAATGTGAAGGAAACATTATATCTTGATGATACAAGCATATGTCGAGATGAAGCCAACGCCAGATGCACATTTCTTACGCTGTTTTTGAATGCTTGGGATGAAGTCGTGCGCTGAGCGATCTCTTGTTATCGAGTGTTTCATGTATCACTACATGATTGCAGAACAACAGGTGCTTTTTCAGTGTTTACAAAACATTTATTCATAAAGAAGTTAATTATATCGCCATGTGTTATTGGACTGGAGAAAAAAGTATGTTCACGATTTTCGGTCATGAAAGCTTGAATATAGGTTAAGAATATAATATTAAGTTTTCCAGTTTCCTTACGTATCAAATGCGTCAGACTGTCAAATGAAATATGGGTTTATACTTATTAATTTCTAGCCATGTTTTATTTTGTTTGATAAACGAATGCGTGCGACTGACTCTTAATTCTAAGCTAACTATGCCAGGCATGTTTTGGGCAATGCTACATTCCTCTCATTTTATCATATGGTATTGCACACTCCCTACTATCGACATTTGTCATTATTTATGCCCTTTTACAATAAATAAAGAGAAAACAGCAGCCTACGTCATTCTCGTGAGCGCTACTTCCGGTCTAGACACCACACACTTCCGATAGTTTCCCTCGTGCAGGCAGCTCGACACTCGATATCTCCCACCTCTTTATTCACTGTTAACCTGATACAAAAAATGAGAAAAATCTCAAGTTTCTCTTTCGACATTCCTTGATAACCCAACCGTCACGCTCCCGATTGAACTGCACCCATGTTAGATAGTATTGACTTGCTGCAAAAGTTAGCAAGACATGGAACAGAATACCGAACTGCAGAAATGTGAAGGGTCATACCGGTATGATGACAGGGAATTTTTATTTGTAAATAATTGAATGAATGCTCGGAAATGACAGAGATATTACGCTGTATGTTTTTATTGTTTTTAGCTTATTAAAGCTATAGATTTTTTTTGTCGTCAATTCTATGGTGGTATGCAATAACGGGGTTTCGATTACGACACCACGTAGTATCGAACGTCTACGTAAGTGTGAGGAACGACAACTATGGGTAGAAATTTGTGTAAGAGATGTTTTGACAGGGAATTTTTATTTGTAAATAATTGAATGTAATTTAGATGACAGAGATATTACATCTATTTACCTCAAAATACTGAATAAATCGGAAGATTATAACATGATTATAAGACATTGACATACAAAATTTCAGTTTTCTATATGTTTAGAAAAATGAACAAGTAACGCTAGTGTTATTATCCGTGATCGACAGTGATCATTGTAAATAAAATGCGTTGTTCGTTGAAAATTAATGGATTACCCAACAAAAAGAATCATCGTTTTATCAAAACAAAATAAAAATGCAGCAATAAGGTCACGCAAAATCAATTAGTAGCTACTTCATGAATCCTTCTCCTATATTATGTCAAGATAAACAATAACTCTTTTTTTACGAACTCCGTTTGTTCCTGACGCTTGAAACTTATAATGAACATAGCCGTGCAAGCGTTTGGGTGACGTTTATGTTGCTGAACAAGAAAGATAGCGGGCACAAACTGGAAGACACATTTGGAAATTTTAACAAACAATGATGTAAAGAAAACGAAAACAAGGATTAAGCTGACTCATTAGAGCTTGTAAACAACACAGAAGGATTGAATAAGTTTGAACTGTAACGGTGATACGAATCGCGCCATGCTTGGCAAAAACTGCAATGAAAATTGCTATTTAATGACTCCTGCTAATGTTCAGCCGTTTTGAATTATAGCTTTGAAAACACTTGTAGAAATATTGAATACAGTATAGACAAGCTTTCTAATGAAAAAATTAACTTAAAATTGAATATGAAAAATTGAATGTACTTGAGTTTGCAAGGATCCTTGGATTTATAGGGTTGCACTGAAAGCCCAACCACGCATCCTCTCATTAGTGCAGATAAAGGTCCTCTGTACTTGGACCCACCGGCGTCATGAAATGCCTTTTTTTTTATAAATAACCTAGCAAATGACATATTCAAGAAAATTAGGAGTATTTACAATAAACTGACCAAGACATGTTATAATTTGTAGACAAAAAATAAAAATGGTGTAGAATTCAATAAACCACACACTGCGCATTGCAATCCAATGGCCAGCCAAAGTCATTCACAACTAAGTGAATCTATTTTTAAAATGTATTTTGCCTATTTTTTTTCAATGATATGGTTGATAGTGGTTTGTTTTGTTAATTTATGTCCATAGTAGGTAACATGTTTTTAAAAGGTTTTGTTTATAAATACAGATTATCGGATAATCATTTGTGACTGCAGATGCGGAATTACATCCTATTGTGATTATGACTTACCTGTACATACCTATATGTCGGGGTAAAGACACGACGGATTTTCAGTACATTCTCGTACTGCAAAAACTTTTTGGGCTTAGATCTATATCCAAGTCTGTGATATCTATATATACCTATAGATATCTATAGAAGTTAAATTAAGGCATAAACTAAATTTGTTTACTGTGTAATATAATTATCATCTTGTTTTGATAATGTCTGCTGTAAAATGATTGTTTACAAGACAT